TGGGGGAAACCCCAGGTGCTGAAGGCCCGGTTACCTGGTTGCTGTTGGAGACCTGAGCTGACAGCTCGCATTCTGCCTAGTGGACTGGGCCAGCGGGTAAGGCACCGAGTTTTAAACCTCCAGTATCCTTCCTTTTCCCCAGATAGAGGGAGGAAAAGGAGCTGTACTTACTAATAGGCGGCGGCAGTGCCTCGCGTTTCTAGGACAGTGGGCGGAAGCAGCGCCTGTTCAGGTCCCTGCGACTGTGTGAAGTGTGGATGCTGGGTTATTGGGTACTTCCTGCTGCACCACCCTTCAGCAGAACAAAACAAGTGGTGAAAAACCAGTACAGTGCGTGGCCACAAGGGAAGGCCCTGGGGTGGTTTCTGCCTTAACAGAGACCTTTCCTGGGCTGAAAGTACTGCAGATGATTCTGTGAAGGGCGGGCGTGGTTCAGAAGTGAGATCTCACTCACTTACACAGCAAGCCTCCCCCACCCAGGTAACACTTCTACCTTCTGACCTTCCTGGTGTAGGCTGCGAATACTGACAGAAGGAAGAAGAGACCAGCGGAGAACGCTGCGCCTCTCAAGAAGAAAGCCAAGAGAGTCCAGGAACGGGGAGGCGGAGGGGACTCGGCGGTGGCAGAGTCCGGCGACGCTGGTGTGTGCTGGGCGGTGCTGCTTCTGTGCAGCCGGGGCTCCCCGGTTCCTTGGGTCGCCAAGCGGCAGAGCAGGACTCTCAGCGTGGCGCTTTTTCCTCCAGGGACCAAGATGCCCCCTTGCCTGAGCGTGGGGCTGGCCGTAATTTCTATTTTATTTGCTCAAAATGAAACATTCTTGGTAGAAAATGCTAGGCAGTGCGGAGATCTAGAAGGTGGACAGGGAAAGACCCTGAAGTCCCCTCCAGGGAGGTCTCCTGCTTGGACTGCTGTGTGTTCATCCAGATTTTCCTGTTCATTCCCACCTATGTGGACACACACATAGACCTACAAATGAGTTTGCAATAATTATTGTATTTTACAGGTTGCATTATCCTATATATGGTGATTTGCATCTTGCTTTTTCTACTGAGCGGGATGCTTTGACCACCCTTCCTTGTCAGGTCGCTCAGCCCTCTTCCCTTTTTTTGCCCACAGCTGTGTTGAGAGGCACTGAGGGCTGGTGGGGTGGCTCAGTGGGAACACCCTTACCTGGCATGTGTGAGGCCCTGTGTTCCATCTCCACCACCACTGGGAACACGCATACACACACACACATACATGCATACTCACAACACTGGAAAAGAACAGCATTCCTGAGCTCCTGGACTTGCAGAGCTGGTATTGGGCAGAGATGGTAGAGCAGATTTTCCTCTAGTTTTGGGTCGCAGAGAATTTGTGATAAGAGAAGATGGGAAATCCCCAGAGACAAGAGCCCAAATAAATGCATAAATGAAGAAATAATAAGTCCCAGTTCTGTGGAGATACCTGCCCGCTGGAGACGAACATGTAACATACCTATTTTTGCATGAAAGTTAAAGTTTAGATTTAGGGTCAACATGAAGGCCTTTCCCTGGTAAGGATGCCCGGGAGGGGAGCTTCAGGGCCAGGGCTTGGGCTTCAGCGTCCAGGCATCTGCATTCCTGGTTTCCCTTCCAGGGAAATCTCCAGTCTGCTGCCCAGCGGAGAAAAGCCCGGTCAGTACCTCCAAGCTTTGAGGATGGGAAGGGTCTAGGAAAGAAATAGCTTTCAACCACTCCTCTTTATGTTAGAACCACCCTTCCTTCCATTGCCCGAGTACTGGGCCCTGATCCTGAGTCTCTCAAGTATTTTATGTTGAAAGATTTGCTCTTGGTTTTGTTAATTACTGACTTAGGATTTAGCTGAACTGGTCATTTTCCCTTCTTGCTTCAGATATTTCATTTGCAATTGTCAGCTTTTCTTTCCTGTTAGTCCTTGTATCTAAAAACAAACAGAAGCAAAATTCTCCTGTAGTCTCTAGCAGGGGCTTCAGTAGTAAGTGACATTACATAGGTGTGTGTTCAGTATGTCATCTTTAACCAGAACCCAGTGATCTTTATTTCATTATCACCTAGTTAGGTTCATGACTTAGATGGGAATCTCCCTCTTTAAACAGTCCCGTGCTGGCTGTGCACTGACACACTGAGACCAAAGTACTCTTGTTGTTTTCTTCCCATTTGTTTCCCAAGAGCCAAAGAGATGTCTGAGGACCAGGATCGCTTCACAGTCTCTGGAAAAACTGAAAGAATTCTGCTGTGATTCTGCCCTCCCTCAAAATAGAGCCCAGGCAGAACCTCGTCAGGGGAGATTCGAAGTTCTGCCAAAATGTACTGATTTTGAGGATATCAGTCTTCAGCGTGCAAAGAATGCCGTTTCTTCTGAAGATCCCAAATCGAAAAGTAATCAGAAGGTGGGTAGTTGCTACGCAGGTGAATGTCTGATTAGAGTAGGCGGTTCCGAAGTACTTCTGGGTCTGTGGGTCACTTGGCATTGGCTCCCAAACTTGGCTGACGTCTGCGTTAGTTTTTGTTTCTTTGTGTTTTGTAGTCTTTGGAGATTTAAATTTATTATGTATTGGGGGGGAGTAGATTGGTTCATATTATCACGATTCTGATGTCCTGCCTGAATTAGGAGCCATTGCCTAGGGGGACGAAGAACAAGTTTGTTGCTGTCCTCCTCCACGGTTGCCATGATTTGCGTGGGAAATCCCCATGTTTAGATGCTCTGAGGATTTTAGTTAAACCAAATGAGTATGAGCTCTCACTTCTGCTGTTTATTTTGTGACTTACTAATGGTTTTTATTACTGCACAATCAGGAAATTTAACTCTTGCTCCATCATTGAAAGCTGTAATTGAGATTAGTGGTTGGTTCTCAGTCTTACCTTTAAATTAGAATCACTTGGAGAAAATAAATCACAAGAACCAAACAAATCCAAAACTTGTATTTAGAACCTTCCCTCAGAGTCTTATTTGATTGATCGTCATTGAGAATCGGGCACAGGTATTTCTTAAAAGCTCTTATTTCAGTGTATAGCCATAGGTGACAACTGTCGCTTGAGAAGTGTTTCTCTATCTATACATATATAGATTAATTTTTTTTGAGTCATTGAAATTCTCACGAAAGCTGTTTTTCCTTAGAAAAATACCTAGGCTGACACAAGTTTGCCTGTAATTTTCAAAAGTTCACACCCTTTCCCACAAAATCCAGATCCATGAATTCCTTTCCTAGCCAGGCTAATATTAATCTTAGATAATCAGGGGAAAAAAAGACTTTTTTGCTTTTAATCTTCTTTAATACTTAGAACAGGTTCACCTGGGTATGGTGATTGTAGAGCATAGACGGTGTAAAATTTGTCTTACTAAAGCTCACTTATTAATTGGAACATGTGCCCCTGGGCTGTTAGACTTATTTGCCATGACGGTATACACCACATGGCTGATGTGGCATCTGCACAACACAAGAAGTTAGAAGCAACCAGGTAGAAGTGCCCAGAGCAGTACATGGACATTATTACACGGGTAAGCAAGTCAGAAGCACGGAAGGGCACGGATAAATGGTAAAAAGCCACCAAATAAACCTAAATGGCCAAAGGTCTAGGACCTTTACTGTAGGGCTAGCAATACCATAATTCCTGATAGGTTTTGCAGTTTATCTTCATTTTCCTGACTTGGGAAAAGAAGTTTAAAAGAAGTTTGGTATGCTGTTTCTGGGAACATGAAAGATAATGTGTTATGTCTGAGAAATATTTCTACCCTAACACTTTCAACGTTGCCTAACATTCAAGTATTCAGACTGACTTAATGGTTAGTATCCCACATGGACAGTTTTCTTTTTCTGGAAGCTTACCTTCTTCCACAAATGAATGAGATAAAAAACAAAAATTTCTTCTAGTGTATATATTTTTGTAAGTGTTGATTAACTTTTACAATATGTAGTATTCCTGGGTTTCATATAAAAGCCACAGAAATGCAAGAGAAAAACCTATGAGGATTTCAAGCACCCAGTTCTCAGATCTGGTGCCTCTGGCTGCAGTGCTCCAGGCCTTCCCATCCTCTTACTGCTGAGCTTTGAAGGTTGCTCAGTCTCTTAGAAGGTTGTTGGTTTTACCTGCTGTCCCAGATGAGCTGAGGTTTTTAAACATTTGGCAAATGCAAAGTACATTTTTTGGGTTTTCTCGTGGAATGAGGCTCCCGTTCCTGGGCCATTTTTCTTCTCTTTCTCCTGTTTGTCACTGAGTTTTTTAGTCATGTTTTTATTTCATTTTTTGGTTTTTGGCACCGGGCATCAAACTCAGGACCTTGCATTCACCAGGCAGGCGGCGGCACCACTGAGCTGTATCACAGCCATTAGTTGTGTTTTTGATTCTAGGTGTTAAGATTTACTTCTGATGTGCCTGTCCCCAGTCTCCTGTGTGTGGGAGGTGATGGGTCCTGGGCGCTGTGCTCAGCAGTGGATTCACCCATCCGTGAGCCCAGGAGCTGACTGTGCTGTTAGGAGGCCACTTGGTTGGAGGTTGCTGCCGTGTGAGACGCAAGGGTGATTCTTGTCCCCGGCTCCTCCCTGCTCCCTCTGCTTCCTGGCCCCCAAGAGTTGAGCGGCTTTTCTTCTGCCAGGGCCTCTGGTGTGCCCTTTCTGCTGGAACCAGCCAACCAGGGCTGAGGCCTCTGAAAACTGAGCCCTTTACGTTGTGGGTATTGGGTTTTTTTGACCTAGTAGACAGAAAGTGACCAATACACAGGGCTAACTGAGGCAATTTTAAGACGTTGGCAGTGACAGAGTGGTGACTACTTAAGCGCCTGGATTTAGTCTCCTTTTTCCTTTGTCTAAATTAAGTCCAATAAGCAAGATTTTCTCTATTAATTGGAATTAGTTAAGTGTTCATCACGAGAAGCAAGGATAGGAGGAGTACTCGTGTTGCAAATAGAGCTTTGTGCTGTATGTCTTCCAAGAGCTCGTTCTCACATTTCTTTACCAAAACAATCGTGATTCTTCATTGGAGTAAACACTAAGTGCAGCATTTGCTGTTGGCGTGCTGCTGGAGGTGGTTTACCCGAGTCTGTGCCCATTAGTCTTGTGGATCACACACCAGGAGTCAACAAGCAAAGAAGTGTTAGTGATAGATTTAACAAAGCCAAACTTAAAAAGAAGCATACAAAATGGTAAAATATCTATAGTTTCAAAATCTACTTACATAGTTACAATTTAGTTTGGCTGGTAGTTTTTTCAGCTTTTACTTTGAGAAATCCCAAACCACGGATATCCTGCTAGACCACCACCATGGGCCTGGAGAAACCTTCCCTATGTTCATCAAGGGTTCGCTGTTTGCCAATTTGTGTTTCCGTTTCTGGGAACTTAATTGTGTAGTTAGTTTAGTACCTTTCAAATTGTATACATCTTTTGGTCACAGGACAGTGTGTCTGGGCCCAAGAGTTTCCAGAAGCCCTCTGACCCCAGAGCCCTGAACAAGCGCTCCAAGAGCGTCTACACGCCGCTGGAGCTGCAGTACCTGGAGGTGAAGCAGCAGCACCCAGATGCGGTTCTGTGTGTGGAGTGTGGGTATAAGTACAGATTCTTTGGGGAAGACGCAGAGGTGAGTTGTTCTTCCAAGCACTGTTTCATTGTTTTTCACGGCCTTAGGTATTTTGGAGTATCTTGTTTCATTTTCTTTGTGAAAAAGCTAATTTGATTGGTCACCCTTTAAAAATGCTATCACTTAAAACAAAGACTGAAAATAAACACCAGAAAATCTTGTAGTAGGAGCTAGAGTTGCAGAGAAGGAAGGGGAGAGTATTGGAATGTTAGCATTTATTCTCTGGGGTGCACGCCTGTATCCCAGCACTTTCGGAGGCTGAGGCAGGGGGATCTCAAGTTTGACCCCAACCTGGATAGCTTAGCAACTTAGTGAGACCATCTCTCAAAAAGAAAAGGGCTGGGGCTGTAGCTCAGGATGAAGGCCCTGGGTTCAATCCCCAGTACCACCACCACTAAAAAAGTTCACTGGATCAGTGGGTTAGTGAATGAGCCACAGTCTCCCCAGTGTGCTTGCTAATGTCGACTTAGCTGGGAAGTCCCGGACGGAAGTCCTCCACCCATGGATTTCCAGAGCCAAGGCCACAGCGAAGGCCCAGTGGAGGCACACACGAGCCCGCCCACTGCCGAGGTGTCTGAGGTGTCACAGTGGCTGTGGTCGTGCGTGGCGGCCCTCGTCCAGCTGGGCGGCTGAGGTGCACAGTGGGTTTGTGCGCAGGCGGCAGGCACGGCTGGTAATGGATGGCCCACGGTGGAGGCTGCTGGGGCTGCAGGGCAGGAGACGCCCAAGGGTGGCCCTGCTGCCCGTGAAGGGGCTGTGCAGCCTGAGCCTCCCGGCTGCCTTCTCTTGCCCGGTGCCAGGCAGCAGGGTGTGTTCTCTGCTGTGCATTGCGCTGCATCTGTTAGGGCCCTGGCACTGCAGCGCTCCAGGTGTCCCCGGGCACGCCCCGTGTGTGGCTGGAGTCCTCCAGGTGGGGCGGGAGCTCAGTCTGGCCGCAGCAGGGACTGGTCCCCAGTGAGAGGGTCGGAGCTCCGCGGCTTGGGGGTCCTGTCAAAGCTGGGCAGGTTCCGGAAGAAACTGGGTCTGGTGCTGCTCCTGCTGCTGCCCCTCCATCATGCATCACTGGCAGCTCCCCGGACCCCGGCTTCTTCCTGTTGCTTCCTCAGCTTCCTGTGACCGGCAGACTCACTGCTCCCGAACCGTCTGGGCCCTCTTCTCACCGTCGGGTATTGCACGGTGGATTCTTCCTCCCGTACCCGCGTGCTGTGTGGGTCCAGCAGCCCCATGGTAGGGGACGCGCAGCATTGTGAGGTGTGGTGCATTAAGGATGGAGAAGGAGGCCTGGCACAGTGTTCTGGTCACTTAGACACGAGCTGGGGCTGAGCCAGGCCGCTGGACCTGCCGAGAGCTCACAGATGTGGCACAGCCCTGCACGCAACAGTCGCACAGGCCCCACCGGCGCTTTGGGCTGGCGGGACCGTGTGACACCCCTACAGCACGCTGAGAGAAGTGCACAAATCCAGAGTGTTCATCTGCTGGATTTTTAACAAAGTGAACGAACCCACAGGAAACCTGGGGCAGTAAACGGCGCTTCCTTTGGTGTCGCTTAGATAGCTGCCCGGGAACTCAATATCTACTGCCACCTGGACCACAGCTTCATGACGGCCAGCATTCCCACGCATCGGCTCTTCGTCCATGTGCGGCGCCTCGTGGCCAAGGGCTACAAGGTCAGCTGGCTTCCACTGCGGGAGGAGGGAACTGGGACTCAGCCAGGGAGTGAGGTGGGAGGCAGGCTTTGATCGGCCCTAGGCTTTTTCAGTTTGGAGAAATGAAAGGGTGTCATAATTACTAGCATTATATCATGGCTTTTAAAAACATTTGGTTAGACCTGTAACATAGGGAGGCTGAGGCAGGAGGATTACAAGTTCTAGCTCAGTCTGGACAACTAGTGACTTAGCAAGATCATGTATCAAAATCAAACAAAGGACTAGTGGTGTAGCTCGGTTCAGAGGCCCTAGGTTCAATCCCTGTAGTGCACACGACGATCAAAGATTTGGTTAGGTATTTGCAGTGGGTATTTGAAGAGCCAGGGGCAGATGCTCGCCATGGTCTGTCCTCAGCTGCCGCTGGCATGTGATGTGTCGCCTGACCTTACTTGTGGACTTTGTGAACGAGTTTGCTTCCTGTAGATGTTTCAGAGTTAACCCTTGGGCATTTTGAAATGAGGTTTAAGAAGGATTTTACATCAGATTTGATACTCAATCTCTCTTATCCTCGCCAAAGGTGGGAGTTGTGAAGCAGACGGAAACAGCAGCTCTGAAGGCTGTTGGCGACAGCAGAAGTTCCCCCTTTGCCCGGAAGTTGACTGCTCTGTACACGAAGTCGACGCTCATTGGGGAAGATATCCTTTCTGAATGGAATTTTTCTCTTATGTGTGGCAGGGGCCCTGTTTTAAGATGACAGTTTTCATTTCTTTCTTTCTTTCTTTTTCTTTTTTTTTTGTGGTACCAGGGATCGAACTCAAGACCTTGCACTTGCGAGGCAGGCATGGTGCCATTGAGCTAAATCCCTGGTCAAGGTGACAGATTTTCTTTTCTTTTTTTTTTTTTTTTGGGTACTGGAGATTGAACTCAGGACCTTCCGCTTACAAGACAGGCTTGCGGCTGAACCACTGAGCTAAGTCCCTGGCCCTAAGTGACCGATGTTTTTTAAAAATTGTTTTTTGAGTGGAATCTTTTGGACGAGGTATGGACAGGCGCTTTCTTCAGAATGTGGTTAGGAGGACGCATCCGTGGTGACGTCACTGGAGTAAAGACGTGGACAGCATTCAGGCTTCCAGGAGTCCAGGGGTCTGAGTGGGCTTTGGGAGTGGGCAGGTGGTTGCCACCGGTCCTCCTGAACCTTCTAGCTGCGGGAAGAGAAGGCAGGGGCCTGGGGTCCCTGCAGGTCCGTCCAGGGGCACCACCTGGAGGTGCAGGGAGGTGAGCCGTGACTGAGGGAGAGGAGTGCATTGGCAGCTGACCTTGGTGCGCTTTCCTTTAGTCCCTGTTACATGTGAGTCCTCTCAGCAAGCTGGATGACGGGGCTGTCGGTGTGGACGAGGTGACCACTGATGCTTCTGCTGGCTATCTCCTGTGCATCTGTGAAGATAAGGACAGCGCCAAGGGCAAGAGAAAGGGCAGCGTTTTCATAGGCGTTGTGGTGAGTGCCTCCAGCTCAGGGCCTCTGCGGGAGTGATGAGGACGCGTGCCTCCAAGCAACTGCCTGGGAACATGTTCCCTGTGATATTAGGTGCTGAATCATTGCTTCTCTTTTCTCCTGTCACTGCTTGACACTGCACTATGGCAAAATCCAGCCGATGCGGTTTCTTTTTTTTTGGCTCTGGCTTATAAGCGCTAGGATTTTAGGGTTGGAGATGGGCACAGTGACAGCCACGAATGTGAACAAGGTGCAGGCTGTGGCATAAAGTGCTAAGCCAAGGCCCGCGTGGGTAGCAGAGACTTCCACAGACTTCTTCTCTTCTCAGGGTTTGAACTTCAGCGCAGTTAGGGGACTATCCTATGTCAATTTGGAGGAAGAGATAATTAAGGGGAAATGATAACTGGACAGTAGAAAATGTCATGCTAAATCAATACTAGGAATATTTGCATTTAGCTTTCCAGATAAATAGAATTCAGGAATCATGGTTTGATTTTGCCTCCTGGCACCGGGCGGGTGAATCTGCCCCTTCTCAGACCTGCTTGGCCTCTACTCAGAGTCCTGGATGCTGGAGGGCCCTTCGGGACCACTGCACTCCCTTGTTCTGTTGAAAGCTCAGCAGAGGTGGGGTAACTGCTTCTCTTTGCTTTTTCTAACATCTACGGGCAGTGCGGATACTAATGAGACTCCTCCCTGCCTGAATGTCCCGAGTTGGTACACAGGCTGCGCAGCTCTGGCGGCTGTGGTTTTGCGGAGCCCATAGGTGCTTCTCTGGGAGCCAGTGTTACTCTGGGGCTGGATGGCTTGCAGTGATGGTTTTCTTTGAGAAGCACTTTTCTCTACTGCAGGCAGTCGATTCTGTTGACAGATGGTAATACAGCAGGGTGTGGGGTCTCCTGGTTACCTGAAGAGCAGACCAACAGACACAGTCCACTACTGTGTTGAGAAGCAGCTGCTGGCCGAGTGACGAAGGTCACCGTGGAGTGGGGCCAACGGCACAGTGAGCGCTGGTCATTTACCCTTTAAGCGATTTCTTGGGCCCTTCTTGGCTTCCAGAACCGCTTTCGGCCTGGTGACGCCTTGAGCCTGGTCCAGCTGCTCTGCCCTTTCGAGCTGCAGGCCCCTTCATCGGACCAGGGCACGTGGCTTGCTGCAGCTCCCTAGGCTAGGGTGGCTGAAGTGGAGCCAGCTTCCGCCCTTGGTACTGTTGTCCCTGGGCTTCCCCTGTGGGAGGAGAGTCACACCTTCCCTGGTCACTGCCCGGGGACCATCTTTGGGGTCCTGGCAGCCAGTCTGAAGTCAAAGGCTGTGTGCTTACAGGACACTGTGGTGGCCCTGTGCCTTTGGACTGGGCGCTCCGCTTACACAGGCCGACGAGGCTTCTCTGTGTTGTCTGTACGAAACAGGATAGACAGATAGGGTGATTGTTCACATTTTAAAAAATGAATTACAAGGGCCAGGGATTTAGCTCAGTGGTTCTGTCGCCTGCGTTGCAAGTGCAAAGACCCGAGTTCGATCCCTGGTACCAAAACAAACAAAAAAAATAATAATTACAGTAAGAGACACATTGCCATGAATCCCCCTCAGAATCCTCCCCTGGCTTCGAACACACTTGTCCCACTGTCCTTGCTGCTTTCTGCAGCAGGTCTGGAGTCCTCTGTCCCAAGTGTCCTTAGTTGTGCTATCCTGGCTGCCTCAGTGTCCTGAATGGATTCAAAATGTTTTCCTTTCATGGTCACTTTGACCTTGGGGCAGAGCTAGAAGTCACCTGGTGCCAGATCTGGTGACTAAGGTGGATGAGGACGCAGCGTCCTGTTAGGAGCTGCTTTTCCACTGGAGGGTTCTCGGCAGCAGCAGTCCCCGGATTCGGATCACACCTCATAGAGACCCTCAGGAGAGAGGACTCCAGAGCTGCTGCAGAAGGGGGCAGGGACGGTGGGATGAGTGTGCTCCAAGCGAGGGTGAGGATTTTGAGGGGAATTAATATGTCTTTTACTATAGTAATGTTTAAAAATGTAAGCACAGAAGTTGGGTGATTGTGCTGTCCTTGGCAGTGCTGCTGCAGGACGTGCCACTGCAGAGGGTGGCACTTCTCCTTTCTCCTGGAGAGCGCAGCCAAAGCCCGCCGGAGTGAGTATTCCAGTGTCAGGCTGATGGCTTCCATCCTGGGCAGTGCTCTCGCTGCTCTGGGGCCTTATTTGAGTAACTTTCCGCACCCCTTCCAGTCCGTGGTCTCGTTCGGTTTCTTGGCTCTTAGCCTGAGCAGCAGTGGGCGGCTTTAGTTGTCACAGTTACCCTGCTGCCGAGGCTGTCTGCTTGGGGTTCATTCCAAGTTTGTTATATTTGTTTTATTTTTATTTTTTGCAAAACTACCTTTCCCGCATTACTCTCCAGAGGAGTGGAGCAGCCCGCTGTAGTTGGTGGCCAGGTTGCAGCCCGTAGCAGCCAAGCCTGTGCGCCATCCCCACCTCTTGGGGCCTCACAGGTCACATGGCTGCTTGTTTGCTCTGACTGTGCTCACGGTGCCCTGCGGGAGGCGGCAGGGTTATCCCTGTCCTAGAGGGGAGCAGAGGTGTGGGGTGGTTTGGGGACTTCTGGGCGCCCGTCTGGGGCATTAGGTGGGACCTGTGCAGAGGTGGAGGCCCCAAACTCTCCTCTCGCCTGTCTGCATCCTGTGAGCAGAATGCCGGCTGAGCGGTGCCCTCTGTGACTGCGCTTCCGTTTGTGTTTGTGCCCATGCAGGCCGTGCAGCCCGCCACCGGGGAGCTGCTGCTGGACGCCTTCCAGGACACTGCACTGCGCCTGGAGCTGGAGACAAGGCTGTGCAGCCTGCAGCTGGCTGAGCTGCTGCTCCCTGAGCGCCTGTCGGAGTCCACAGAGGCGCTGGTGCGCAGGGCTGCTGCCTCGGGGTGAGTGGGCTCCGCGGCCTGGCCTGGGCTGGGCTGGGCTGGGCTGGGCTGGGCTGGGCTGGGCTGGCGCAGGTCATCCTGGTTACAGAGCTGAGTTTCAGCAGAACTGGAAAGTTTAAAAAAGAAAATTGTCCGTTTTTATCATCTTGAAGTAGGACAGTAGAAGCTGATTATTTTACTTTATTTTATTTGGTCTTTTGAGACAAGGTCTCTCCATGTAGTTCAGGCTGGCCTTGAACTCACCATGTAGCCCAGGCTGGCCTTAAATCACGGCAGTCCTCCTGCCTCAGCCTCCCGAGTGGTGGGATTACAGAAGTTGCTCTTTTTAAAGGGGTTTGTGCCATTACTGAGTGACATTACGTATTTTGTCATTAATCTGTAGTTTCTGTAGGTAGAGCTCATTTGTATCGTCTTGGAAGTCCTTTCCAGTGTTACGGTGGTGGGCTGTCGTGCAGTAGGTCAGCTTCCTGGACAGGCAGTGCTGTGCGTTTATGAAGCAGTGTGCAGGCCACACGGGGAGGGGAAGGGGGTGTGGCCTTGACTGAGTCCCCAGAGTCTGCAGCCAGCGGGGTGCCCCAGGCAGTGCCTCAGGGCCCTCTCCAAGGGCAGAGCCTGTGGGACCTGGAGGAACGGAAGAGTGGAAGGCAGGGACGGAGGGGTGTGGCTGAGGCTGTGCAGTATGGAGCGTGGGTACCGACCAGGCAGGGTCGCCTACGGGTTGCACATCCGACGAGTCAGGCTGATACACAGGTTCCTTAGGGTTCACAGCTTTTCTTTCTTTCTTTTTTTTTTTTGGTATCGGGGATCGAACTCAGGACCTTGCACTTGCGAGCCAGGCGCCGGAACCACTGAGCTAAATCCCTGGCTCCTACTTGCTTTTTTTTTTTAAGACAAAAGCTGTTAATGTATGTGTTGCTGTTTTCTAAACTGAAACCTTGGTGTGCAGGTTTAGTTGCAGTGCTGGGCCTTTGCGTTAAGTAATTGGAGTTTGAGTTGCAGTTTGGGCACTCATCTCAAAAAGGTTCATCATCACTGCTTTAGAGGGTTCATTTGTGTTTTAATTTAACTTTTGTTAAAGTAGCTTTTGTAATTTGTTTACATACACCCAATGTATGTTCATTTGGAAGAAGTTAGGAGTTATTAAAAAAAGAGAGGTAAAATAAGCCAAATCCTACAACCCAGAGATAACTACATGTATGTGTGTTCTTTGCATTGCTTTTTTCATTTATAAACATGGATTCATGCTGCAAAATCACAGATTCACTGTGGAATCCCCTCCCCTTTTTGGTGGCGTTTCAGGGATTGAACTCAGGGCCTCCTCACTGTGCTGCATACCCGGCCCTTTTTGCTGTTTTATTTTGAGACAGGCTCTTGCTAAGCCAATAGGCTCCCCAGGTTGGCCTCCAACTTACAGTTATCCTGCCTCAGCCTCCCAGGTGGCACCATCACACCTGCCTGAAAAATTCTCCACATACTGTCTTTCTCTTTATGGAAAATTTCAAACCCAGTACAGAATTGTTGGGAATGGCGGTGAACTCTGTGCATCCATCAGTAGCTCCAGCGCTTCTTGGTTTGGAGCGGATTCATTTCATCCACGCCGACTCCTCCCTCGATGTTTATTTCAGAGCCAGTTCAGGGAGTATCATTTTGTGTGCTGGCATTCAGCAGTGCTCTGAAAGACCCAAGGACTGCAGGACATAGACTGTAGACCGCAGCTTAGCCTTCCTTCTCCTTTGTTATGTCGGAGTCATTATTTCAGTGTTACAGATACTGATGGAAGAAAGATTTGTGTGCATATTTACTTCCTTAAGGTAAGTGTTGGGAAGTGGTTTGTGAGCCAGAGGGTGTAGGCATTTATAAAGCTCTTGGTTGTTAGAAGTGATGGTGCTGTTTGTCCTCCCGGCAGGGTGACACAGGAGTCTGAGCCCTGGCGGCTCTGGTGAGATCACTTGAATGTCTGTGCCTGTCAGATCAAAAATTCTGCATCACGTCGCGTTTCGATCTTCTCTTTCATGCTTAAACTTGACTACTTAAAAGACAAGCAGTAAATTTCTAAGGGTGCTGCTTTTGAAGAGTTAGAATTTTAAAAATCTCAAAAAAATTTTTTAGAGTCTTCTAAAACTGTATTTCTAGGGCCAGGGATGTAGCTTAGTGGTTCCGCCGCCTGCCTTGCAAGCGCAAGGTCCTGAGTTTGATCCCCGTTACCAAAAAACAGAAAACAAACAAACAAAAACTGTATTTCCAGTATTGTCTGCTGGACTTGGTTCATTTTTCTTCATAACTGAGTATGTATTTGATTGACTTTGGTTAGCAGATTCATTTTGGTCAGTTGCATCAATATGCTCATTTTTCTGTTTCTCTGCATACTTTTATAAAACAGTAGAGAGAAAATTCAGTAAAATATCAAAGATAGGTGTTGCCAGAACTGCACTTCGGTTGGTGACATTGCTAAATGTCCCTGATTAATTGGGCGGGGGTCCAGGCCTGCTGTGGAACGCCAGAGACATGTGTGTGTTGGATATGAGTTCACGAATTTCTCACTGCTCTACCTTGTTTTAAATGGTCTTTCTGCGGTTAGCAACACGGGCCTGTACTCATTCCTGTGTTTACTAAGCACATCTAAGTCTTCGATCTTTGTGAGTCTTTGTGTTAACGTCCTCGTTCGTTGTGGACTGAGGGCAGTCAGAAGTGAGCCTTGCGTTTCTGTGTTGTGTCTGCAGCTGGTTTTGTGGATGGGCAGTGCGGAGGTGAAGACTGGATCACAGGTCACACGTGGGGCTCTGTGGCCCGGGCTTGGGCAGGAAGCCAGCTTGGCCTCCTGGTGCCATTGAGCAAGTTTTTCTCTTTATAATAAGGCTGTTGAGCCTGCTTCCCACACAGGGTTGCACTGCCTGGAAGGGTTAAACACTTCCTGTTAACACAGCTAAAGCGCGGAGGATGCCCCGTGGGTAGAAGTTGTTCTTGCAGCCATTGCCTCTTTCATTTACTTTTTTAACTATATTTTTATCAGTACATATGGATCCATGTAGACCACATTCATCTAGGGGGTTCGTAGCTGTACATGATGCACTACCTCCCCTCCCTCAACCCTTCTTCCTCTCCCCACTCACACGGCTCTGTTTCGCTTTTTCTCTTCCATTCCCTGTTTTTTTACCTTTCCCTTCCTTTGCTCCCTCCTCCTCCTCCCTTGTTCTCCTTCCGTTTGAACATGTTCTTCCTACTTCCCAGTGTCTGTCCTCCATTTTGCTGCTTATTTACTGGTTAAGTTTCTCACACCAGAGAAACAGTGCAATATTTAAACTTGTGTGTCTGCTTTATTCCACTGAAGATTATGGTCTTAAGGTGCATCCATTTACCTAAAAATGACTCAAGAATATCCTTCTTTATGACAGAGTTGTACTCCATTGTATGGAAATACCACATTTTCATTATCCTTCTGTTGAGGGGTATATGGACTGTTTCCAAGATATGGCTATTATAAACTGTGCTGCTATAAACATGAGTGTGCATATATCACTGTGGTATGATGCTTTTAACTCTTTTGGGAAGATACCTGAAAGAGGAACAGCTGGATCAAATGGGACCTCTACTTTTAGTGTTTGGAGGCATCTCCACACTGATTTCCATATTGGTTTTACCAATTTACACTCCCACCAGCAATGGAGAAGCATTCCTTTTTCTCAACGGCCTCGCCAGCATTTGTTATTGGTTGATTTCTTGACGATGGCCATTCTTTCTGGAGTGAGGTGGAATCTCAGTGTTATTTAATGTATATTTCTCGAATGACTGGTGATATTGAGCATTCTTTCATATATTTATTTGCTGTTTGTATTTCTTCACCTGAGAAATGTCTATTCATTTCAGATGCCCATTTTTGGATTTGGTCTTTAAATTTATGAGGCCTGATTTATTTTAGTTCTTCCGAAGTTTAGATGTTAGTCTTTTGATGAGTACTTGGTTAAAATTTGTTCCCATTCTGTAGGTTGACTCTTCACTCTGTTGGTAGTCTCTTCTGCTGTGCAAAATCTTTTTAATTTGATGTGATCACAGTTGTTGATTCCTTGTATTATTTCCTGTGCAGTAGGGGATTTATTTATAAAGTCTTTGCCTACACCTATGTCTTCCAGAGTTTTACCCATTCTGTCCTCCAGCATGTTGTTTCTGTTTTAATATTTAGTGTTGGGGCTAAGTCCCCGACAGCAATAATTACCCGAGTCACGAAACGATATAAAGTCCGCAGAGAACTTTGTTTCCGGCCGGGACCAAATCCCCTGCAAGGAGACTGGCCCTGGACTGAACTTTTGGTCAGTTTTTATAAAGAAAACCCTTTCCTCCTCCCCCCTCCCTAGCCCTGCAGTAAGGGTATCTACAGAAGCGAGAAAGAATGCGTGGTTAGCACCTCTGGGTTACCAGATACATAATGTAAAACTAGCCCTTCTAAAATGTAAACACACATCTGTTATTTACACCGGGTGGGTTCCATAAGCGCTCTTGTAGTTGTTTGTCTAAACCTTTAAGCATCAATCAAAAGTAGGAGTATAGGCACGAGATAAGAACATCTGGTGTGCTGAGACATCACACAGGAGTACAAACGTGAGATAAGATCCCCCTTTTCAGAGTTCACACAGAGGACAGCTTCCCATCAGGACTGGGGGCATTCAGACAAAATGGAGTCTCTTCAGCTAACTTAGGTCTGTCATTTAGATCTTTCATTCATTTCGATTTAGCTTAGTGCATGGTGAGAGTTCCGGCTCAGTCTCGGCCTGTGGACAGCCAGTTTTCGCTGCCTCTTATCTCTTGCCTCTCCTTTTTCTCCCTGGCACTGCTGCCCTGGTACATATGTTGGACCTTCTTACTCTGCTCTGCTCTCCCTGCATGGCCCTGTATGGTGTGGTTCCCCACTGTAGCTGTGTTGCTTGTGTTATTTGCAGCCCCTTGGGATTTCTCTTTGAAAATTAAAAATTTTTGATTGTCTTAAAAAAATTTGTATTATATTGTAA